CTCAAGTTTTTTTCTGTCTCAATTGGGTCATATTTTTTGTAAAAATGAACACATTTTACCCTAACCGTTAAATTGTAACAAACGGCGTTAGTTGGTGCTGACGTGTTGCATAGTTACGTGGAATTTTTATTACGTGGAATTTTTATTTAATTTGAGAAATTATGATATGGCAACCTTTATGACGTGGTGATGTTTTGACTAAAACCAGATCTTCTCCTCCCTCCCCCTCTGCTTCCTCCCCCATTGGCAACACCGGACTCAACTTTATTCTTTATGGGCGGTTCTCTCTGATGCTGATGCAGTCCAACACTCACTCACGCCATTGCCTACTGTCACACTCCATATGTCTTTCCATCTTCAAGTGCATTCTTCGATGGAAAACGACGAGCATTCTTCGGTGAGGCTTCAAGCGCCTTTGGAGGTGCCAGCGAGGTCCACTTTGATCAAGAGTTTGAAGAAAACGACGTCGGATCATAGAAGTGTGAACCACAAGCAGTTTGAAGCAACTGTTCAAGATTTTAAACCAAAAATGGCTGAAAGTGAAAGGCCGCGTCGTGACTCGGGGGAGCTCGCCGATTCTACTAAGCCCATTTTAACAAGATCACGTGCGCCTCGCGTTCCCAAACCGCCACCGAGACCATCGTTGTCTTCTTCATCATTCCCCTCTCACTTTTCTTTCTTTTTATTTTCCTCACCACGTACGCCAAACCTGTGTTGTTTCTCTCTTTCTCTCTCACAGCCTTTCATTGACATTAATGCAGAGCTGTATATTGCAGTAGCAGCATCTGCAAAACCTGACAGTGAAAAAGAATAACACCTTTTTTTACACCTTTATCAATAATATATATTTCATCTAAACAAATGCAAAAGATATACAATAAATTATATAAAACATATAAGTAACTTTCTTTTATTATATTCACTGAAAAAATAATATTTAGAAAAAAGAATGATATATAATATATCAAAGTAAGAATTTAAAATAATAAATATACATGGATTATAATATTATAAACAAATATAATAATAAAAATATAAATTAATAGATCAATAAGTAATCAAAGATAATTAAAATAAAATAAATAAACATAATCGATAGATAAAAAAGATAAATTAAATGAAATAAATAAATACTACTAATGCAGAGATAAAACAAATAAACAAAAGTATTTCATAACTAAATATAAATTAAAAGAAATAATTAAATACGGTCAGTACATAATTAAAAATAAAATAAATAAGATCCGTAAAATTAAAACTAAAATTAAATAAAATAAGTAAACATGTTCAGTTGTAAACGGATATATATTACAAAATAAATAAGAAAAAACTATGTGTAACTGAAGATAAATTAAATAAAAAATAATAATTAAAAATAAGTTAAATAAAATAATATGTAATTCAAAATAAATAAATAAATGAATAATACAAAACACATGAATTTATTAAGATTAATATAAAAAGAGCTTAACATCTTACTCCCTTATTGACAGGACAGCCAATAATACTTTAGCTTATTATTAATATAAATTAATTGATTGACAGGACATCAATCAATTTAAGAAAAAAAGAAAAATAAAATAAAAAACAGATTCTCTAGGTTAAAATTTGATTGAAGCTACAAAACATGTACAGTACTCAATAAAGAAGAAACCAGACTGAAAAATTTATGACTGGAGGCAATGATCTTGTTTCCAATGGTGTGGACACCGAGGGATAGAACTCAAGGAGCAAGGTGCAGTGTCCTCAGCATCGTGATTTTTTTTAGGGTAAGGAACGCCCACAACAGAGAAAGCAAAAGGAAGGAGATGAATCTTTGCGCAGGATAGAAGACCAAAACGAAGGAGAAGAAGAGAACGATCGCCATGTCATAATCTCTCAAATTAAATAAAAATTCCACGTAATAAAATATTTTGACATCAGCACATTAATTATGCAACACGTCAGCACCAACTAACGCCGTTTGTTACAATTTAACGGTTAGGGTAAAATTTGTTCATTTTTACAAAAAATATGACCCAATTGAGACAGAAAAAAACTTGAGGACCCAACTGAGATTTTCATACAAACTTGAGGACCAAGGGAGGGTTTAAACC